AGAGGTTTTATGGGTAGACCTAATGGGTGGCAGGTTATGAATTAGTGCTTTATACTGTCATGCTACCGTACGAGTTATGTGTTGTAGGCGAGTACTAGTTGCCGTCGATGCTACCTTACTGACGAGTAAGTGTGGGCGGGCACTAGATACTGTCATTGCTACCACACATTCGAATACGTCGTGAGCGAGTTCTGGTCGCTATTCGTACTACCACGTTGTGTTTCTTCTGTACCCTGATTTGATATGTGGTTATCTTGGAGTTCTTTTGGTGGTTGTTTTTGGTTCCTTATGATGGTTTGTCAAGAGGGACGCTTACGGTTGTTGTTTTCTGTTCTTTTGTCTGACCTTGGGTTCTCTGTGTGAGTTCAGACTTGTCGTGTGGCCATGTGGTAACTTTTCCCTTGAGGGGTTGTCTTGTCATGAGCACACGGGTGCAATTGACAGTGGTTTGTGTGTTCCTTTCAGTCTCGAGGTCACTGGTGTAGCGCGTTGTAAGGGATACTCAGAGATGTACACTGTAGTTGTCCTGGTTTCACTTTCTGTTTCATTGGGCTGGGTTTAGGGGACGAAATCCCTTTAAGGTGGGAAGGTTGTAATGACCCGGATTTTTCGGATAAATTTTTTCCGTTGTCTTTTCCCTTCTGAGTTTGGTTTCTTATCGATTAGTGTCGTCTCGAGTGCTCTGGAGTGATTTCCGAGACTCTTTTCTTTAGATTGACAACTTCTTTTGAGGACCGAGTCATTTCCATATTTTTTGTTTTTTGACACTATTCACTTTTCGTCCTTTTCCCTATTCTGTCTTTTTCCCTATTTCGTCTTTTCCTCGTTTGGCACTTTGTTTGCCTAACCACACTTCTTGTGTTCGGAGTTGGTTTCTGACTTCACGTATCTTCATTCCCAATGATTTCTATGAGATACGTATCTTTACTTTCGTGAAAAAGAACTCTAGTTGCTCCCGGTGTCCATAGGGACATAAACGCAAAGTTCTTTGGAAACTTTTTCTTTTCTTGGGGTGTTTTCCATAAATATCTTTTGAAGATATTTTATTTCAGGGGTATCTAAGAAAATTTTCATTCTGGGGCAGTTTCGTAGTTTTCACTTCTTGGAGGGGTCATTGTGCAATTAATGAAAGTTATTACTCAATGCCTTGTTTTAAGCCTGGATCCTCGTACGGGATTCATTTTCACATTTCATCGAGTCGTGGACTCTTAGAATTTCCTCCTGGACGATGCTTTCCAGTTTCAGGGTTTCTGGCCCCGATTTGCGCCAAACTTGTTTTAGGCATAACTCTCTGCTCGGGACTCAGGTTTCGACGTTGTTTCTTCCGTTGATCATATTTTGTCATTTGGAATCTTTTTCATTCACGAAGTTTTCCCATTTGAGTGCGTCTGCATGAATTTCACTTTTCCGGACCCGGCGAGGCCCGTTCGGGGCACTTTTTGAGTTTTTCTACAAATAGGAAGTCTTAGAAAGAAAAATCAAATTTTTCTCTCTCTGTCCTCTCTCATGGTGGGTCCAGATTTTTCTCTCTCTGTCCTCTCTCATGGCCGGTCCAATCTCCATCCATGGCTGCCATCTTCTCTCTCCTCTTTTGGACTTCTTCCCTTCATTAAAAAGTGGTGATGCCTTTGTGTTTATTGTTCCCCTCGGCGAGGCTTTCGATTCCAGCAAATTAGAATCTCGTTTTAGCCATTTCTTGAGTTCAGGTTTGAAGTCAAGTTGTGTTTTTGATGGGGCTTCCTTGAGATTCATGTTCGTGGTGTTATCCCCGACAAAACTTAGGAGTTTCATCGGATTCGGAGCTGATTTATTTTGGTGGGGATTTGAGATTTCATCTCAAATGGAGGTAGGGAATGTTTTAGGATTTTATATGTGTTGTATTATGTGTTTTTCATGTTTATACAACCTATATGCATGCCTTGTATCAAATCTAAGAAATTTGAAATATTTAATTCTTTATATAAGATTTAATTTTCATGATGATAAGAAACTTGGTTTTGAATTGTGGCATGGTAGAAACTCTTGTTTTAATATGTTGGTTAACATATATTAAATTGGAATTAATTAAATAAGAATTGCTCTTTTTAATTAATATTTATCTTTTGTGAAAGATTAAAGTTCATGGCCATACCTTGCATCGAATTGAGTTGTGTTATGCTTCTAAATTAAGTTTTGGCATGTTTGTTAACATACTTTAATTTGAGAGCATTTGGTTGAGTTTGGAAATCTAGAGACTTTAATTAAGGGAATTAATTAAAATCTATTTTGGTGGTTTCATGGGCCTAATTAAGCTTGTGTGTGAATATATGTAATGACCATGATATGTCTATTAACATATATTAAATTGGGGCCAATTGGAAATGATTTGAAATCTAGAGAGTTTAATTATTTTGATGGAATTAAATTCTATCTTGTGTATCCATGCATCTAATCATGTTTTAGAAGTTCTTTTTATTTTAAGAGCATGGATTTAGACTTGCGATGTATTCACTAGATTGTGTTATATGCATTGAAGAGCATTGTTGTTAAGTTTATATTCATGACAATATGTTTCTAATATGAATATATTGTTGGCTTGTGATTTCGTAGCATTATGGATATTAAATGTTTATTATGCACAATTGAGAGTTATATTGCTAACTTGTTACAATGTAGTAGTAATATGTATAAGTTATGAACTTATTTGGCTTATTTTGGAATCTTAGAACATTGTTGAGTTGAGATGGCTAAGGTTTGGCTCTAGTACGGGGACGTGAGTCCTCTAAGTCATTGAGATAGTGCGCACTTAGGGTGGTCTTCCCTGCGGGTTAGTGCCCGGAATAACCATTGAGGTCTCGGCAAAATTCCGAGCGTGATGTCCAAGTATTCCACTGTTTCTTTTTGCATTCAATCCCAAGTTGACAATCATGTTTACCTTGTTAACTTGTGGTTTTGGCTATTGGTGATTTTGATGTTGTTAAGTACATCCATTCTAAATTGATATATTTAGTTGATTTCACACTTTTTGATTTCTAGTTGATAACCTAGAGAATCTATGTCTTGATGTGTGGTATTAGATATTCTAATTATGCTAAATTGTTATATTTAGTTGATGTTGCATTTTAGACTTCAAGTTGATAACCTTGAGAATCTATATGTTGTTGCTTTGTGTAAGCATGCTCCTATGCTGTTGCTTTGTGTAAGCATGCTCCTATGTTGTTGCTTTGTGTAAGCATGAACCTATGTTGCTAAAATTGCATGAATAAGGTGATTGATGCAAGAAATGATCTTAGGTAGCTAGGATACTCCTTGAGTCTCACCTTTGACATAGACGTTGGGTGGAATGAACCACAATGATTAAATCATGCAACTTGTAAAACGTAGGTCGATGCATGCTCATTTCCTACGAGTGGCTTTATGTTACTCACCCCTACGATACTGGGGCATATTTCAGATACAAGAATCAAAGTTGAGGTCTTCATTATGCTTGGATTGTTTATGGACTTGGAGACTTCCACTTTTGTGAAGGTTGGCTTGGAATGCCAATTGTAGTCTTATATGTCAACATATGTACATTTGACTCCTTATATGTAATGTGTACTTGAGTACACTCTTTACGATGTATTTGACATGTATGAGATGGGGCCGGAGGCCAATGACATGTAAATTATATCCTATGTAAATTTTGACTTCATGAAATATTATGAAAGTATTGTAAAATATTGAGTTTTTGATTCACCATGTTTGCATTGGGTGTGGGAATTCCATTTTGATTCTTCCATTAGCATTCATTCACCATGTATGAAGTGTGGCCAAGGGTCAAGCGGCATTTTGAAACCATTTCATAGTTTTGAATTCCAAGTTTTTGTTCCAAACTTCATTTTTGGCATTTTGGCCGTTGGGGGGGTCATATATTGCATCGGCCATATTTTTGAGCCATGGACCATTGTATCACATCTTACTAGGTAAGTTACATTTGCGTACATGGTTGTTTCCGGGCAAAGCTTCTTCTTTGGTGAAATGGGCCACCTACGGACTCATTTTACACTTTTGTTGCATTTTCTGACCTAAGGGTATTTTAGGAATTTACTTTGGGAAATAAATTCCATTCTTCATATGGTTGAATAAAAAATATGATTTTAGGGGGCGTTTCTTTTTTGTGTTTTTCGAGAAAATGCCATCTTGGCATTGGAAATCGCATCCGAATTTCAACTCTCAGTTTTTAAATTTAGTAGCTTTTTGGACCCTCTGGACCAGTTTTCTTGGGAGGGCATTTTGGGCATTTCACATTGCGTATTTTTTTATTTGTCTTGTGTGACACGCAGAAAACTTGATTTTGAGGGGAGTTTCTTCTTTGAGTTTTTCCAGAAAATGTCATTTTGGCTCTCAAATTTTCATTTTTTCCAGAAAAACCCCTGCTGCCAGGTTTTTTGGGCTGCCCATTCTGCCTCCTTCACATGTAAACGGTTTCGAGGGGTTTCATAACCGGTTACATGTGTATGGGTAGTGTGTTTCTCGTGATTTTTGGCTTCCTAACCGGTTAGGAAGGTCTCCTAACCGGTTAGATGTTCTTGGTTGCCATCTTTTTGGCCGTTTTGCCCCTTCTTCTTCCGTTAGTCATATCTTCTTCATCCGGATTCCGAATCAAGCAATTTTTGAGTCTAAGTTCATTGATTTTTCATTGTCTTTCCAATGGTGTGCTTGGTGGTACCCACTTTTAGGCTGGAAATGACGATTTTTCCCCTAGGTGCATTCTTATCCGTTTTTGAAATGTTATTTCCGCATTTGATTCCTTTGGGTCCCATGACCTCGTTGAGGGTCACAATGGTGTCTTAGTGTCATGTTGTATCTCTAGAGACCATTTTTTGTCTTTTGCTTCTGCATTTCAGATCCGTTTTCAGATCATCTTTCGGTTCATCACTGACACACCGGGTTGAAAAACTTGGGCCGTCACAGGGTAGCCCTTATGTATGATGAGACGGCAGATTCTTTTGTGTGGTTATTTGATGCTTTTTTAAAAGCAATGTCCGGAAAGACACCAAAAACAATTTTGACTGATCAAGATGCAGCAATGGCGAAGGCTTTGATGCAGGTAACTTGAATTAAGATCTCCACTCCTTTTCATATACTGAAAATACCTGTAATGCCTAATTGATACAATGAAGTAAATAATGGAAAAATGTTTATTATTCTAACATGATTTTAGGGTTTATTTTAAATGTCATGACTCAAACATGATTTTATTTTTTTTGTCATGCCTGGTACAAAACATCATCTATGTACGTGGCATCTAATGCAAAATGAACAAAAGCATGTTGGGTTCTTGTTTAAACGTGATGAACGCATCAAAAATGTGATATCTAAATTAATGTTCGAAATTGAGGAGGATGAACAATTTATGTCAGAATGGGATTCAATGCTAAGGGTGTATGATCTTGTTGGTAACACATGGCTTGAGCATTTGTTTAGCTTGAGACATAGATGGGCCATGGCATTCGTTAAATATACGTGGTGTGCGGGAATGCGCACTACGCAATTGAGTGAAAGTTTCAATGCTTGCTTGAAGGAATGCTTATCGAGGCAACTCATTCTTCCTGATTTCTTCACCCATTTTGATAGGCTGTTGTCGGATAAGCGTTACAAGGAGTATGAAGCCGAGTACCATTTGCTGCAGAGGATTCCGTAAGTTAAATCAAAGTGTGACATGTTACTTAAAGCGGGGGAGACATACACAAATGTTATATTTCAGCTTTTCCAGGAAGAGTTTTTAACAGCATGTGTGAGTGATAATGTTAATAGTTGTAGTGACATGGATAACAATGGACAACGTGTTTATAAAGTTACTAGTCGTAATGGCATGCAACGTTCTGTGACTAGAACACTTGAGGATGAATTATCTTGTTCATGTGGTAAATTTGAAATGAATGGATTTTTGTGCAGTCATATTTTAAAAATCCTTGAGGATTGTATGAACATCACTGAATTGCCATCTCGATATATATTAAGAAGGTGGACTAGGAAAGCCAGAAATCCTAAACTTGAGGTAAGGCGACGACACAGGACCCTTTGTCGTATTTTGACCGAAATATCTTCCATTGCATCGAAAGACAACGAGGGATACAATGATTTATTAGTAAAAGCAATGGAATAGAAAAATCTGCCCAAAGAAGTTGTAGTCGTACTTTGGTTGGCAGTAGAAAGGCTGGTAAAATGCAAAATAATGGGGAGATAAAAAACAGTGGAATAATTCCCGTGGGCGTCAAGATGAAAGATACATGTAAAGGAGAAATGCGTAGGCGCAAATCTCCCATTGAGAAAAATGCCAAGAAGAAGAGCAAGTGTATGAAAAGAATAGTTGAGGTATTTACCAAAAATTTTTAGTTTACTTTTCATATTGTACTTACATTATTGTGGTCCTTCTTTTACATTAATGTTGTGGATTTATTTGTCATTTCTGGTTGTGTACTGAATCGAATAAAAATTGAATGTTATTATGTTTTAGAAAGTGAATGATAGCATGGTCTCCGAAGTGGGAGGTGGCAGTTGTAGTCAAACATATCTATTAGTCGATGTTAGTATTGTTACGACTATATCATATCCAACACTTAATTTTAGTGATAGTTGTGCAATTCATTAATTTTGTTTACAAGTTTACTGTAACCTAACAGAAGTACACAATTTTTGTTGAAGGGCAATGAAAATCTAGGTGAATGTGTACATCATCAATGTTATATGCCACCACCACCTATAATGCACAATAGGCATGCTTTCCAACCTCCGTATAGCCCCGGTATTCATTTTCCGCAACCCATTACTCCATTAAGTAACCAGGTAATTATGTTGAATCAATTGCATTGTATTAGTGGACCACGCTTTCTAGATTTAATTCCCATAATTTCTAATGAACACTATAAAATGTTGCAAAGTTCTATTGGTGATTCACAGTTGTTTTCATCTGAACTATTTAGTACTCCTTCTTCGTATGGCGAATCGTGCACGGCTAATTTGGGAAGTCAAATGGTATATATTTTAATATGATTTGTCAGCCAAACCAATATTATTATCTGTTATGAGTTATTTCTTTATTTTATCTAACAATTCCAATTTCTTTCCACGGTCATAAATAAAGACACCTACTCCCAACCTCGGGCAATTGACTTCCACTGAAATGTCGCAGCTGCCAAACTCAGAGATTAGTCGTCCAATTCAACAACAATTGTTCAAATATTGAGTAAGCAATGTTTATGTATTTTACTTTATCCATGTCAACTTCGTCTAATTCTCTGCCACTGTATCGAAAAGATAATTTTAAATTACATACATCTCTAATTGGGCTAACCAATAACTGTGGTATCTGCAGCAAGAAAACAAAGGAGGGAGCTTTTGGTTTTCTAAATTTTTGAATGAATTCGTCTGCCATAGTTAAGTGCAATTTGGCTTTGGTACTACCTCCAAATGGGAACTGGGTTGTATGGATGAAGTTTGTATATACTTCCTAGTTTAGTAGGTTAGCATAGTTAAGTTGCACCGGAGGAATTTATATTTCTGTTATTTGCCAATTGTTGTAAACAATTTTATGTATTTGTGGTTATATGCATTTGGCAATTATGGTAAACTATTGGTTTTTTTGCTTTCACTTTTCACAAGTAAATGTATAGTTTTGTAAATGATGAATCCCAACATTTTCATACTGTGCATCTCAACACACAAACTTGCTGCATCCCAACATTTTCCCAAATTGTATCCCAAATTATCCCGACTAGCTGGGACAGATGTATTGTTGCATTAAATAGAATAAGTGGAGGACTAAACTTTCGGCTAACTCACTATATTGTGAAATTAAGTCTTTAGTTTTGATGTTCATATATACTAAATTCAATATTCTCTCACCCACTATGATAATTACATACATCACTACTCAAACTGAATTGTGTAAATCAATGTTTTCCTGGTGGGTCATACAAATGTATTGTTGATAAGTGGCAGAGTAAACTTTCGGCCGGTAGTGTGACGTTCATAATTAAATCACTACTTAAACTAGATTCTCTAAAAGTTAACTTGATCATAACATCACATTAACTAAACCTTCGCAACAGTACATTCAGTCAGGGGTTTGGTAAAAAATGAAAACACAAATTCATAAGCAATACATAGGTGTATGAAGGTCTTCAAATATGATCCATTTTCATCATATCACAACTGTTAATGACATAATAATTTGAGTCAGTGCGTCACCAAAATTTACTAAAGTGCATCCCAAGTTTGTCCCTACTAGCATCCCAAAATTGGCAAACATTAGGATCCAAATAATTTCGTATGATGAATCCCAACATTTTCATATTGTGTATCTCAACACATAAAATTGCTGCATCCCAACATTTTCCCAAGTTGTATCCCAAATTATCCTCACCAGCTAGGATAGAAGTATTATTGCATTAAATAGAATAAGTGGCGGACTAATCATCAGAAGTTTCAACATTATAAAGAGATCACAATTACATCACTAATTGCTGGTCATATCAGCAACCACCAACATCAGAACTTTCAACATTATAAAAGCAGACATACTCAGTAAGGAAATGTTCTCCCACAACTAAATTATCAAATATGTTCTCAGCAAGCTCAACCAATGTGTAAATCCATTTTCATCATATCACAACTGTTAATCACATTTTATTTGTGGATATACGTCACCAAAATATTCCTACCTCGCATCCCAACATTTTCCTATTGTAAATCCCAACATTTTCGTACCTTGCGTCCTAACATTTTCCTGGTGTAAATCCCAACATTTTCCTACCTTGCATCCTAACATTTTCCTAGTGTAAATCTTAACATTTTCCTACCTTGCATTCAAAGTCATTTTCCTAGTAAGTACTTCATTGCATCAGTACTTTCACTTGAGACTTGCATTAGTACTTTCACCTATATATATATATACTACCATTATGACCGTTTGTAAACTTTGTTACCGTTGAAAACCCCTGTACGTCAAAATCCCTTATATATAGGTACAAAATTATCTGCTTTCACATACCAACTTCTATTTTCCTCAGTCTTCTATATATCTGCTTATTCCATGGCTTCATAAACCAACAGCGGTGGTCATCCAAGAACTGTAAGTACAAGTCTCTATTGCAACAAAAAACATTCCTACTTCATTGTTTTCGTCCATTATTTATATATATTTGTTATATATGGTTATATATTTTTTCACTTTGCATTTGAATACCTCGGACAGGTTAGTTCTGGTGAGTTTAGAGACCTAAGGTATGCAATTAAATATTATGGGTGTGGAGAAAAAGCAGACGTTAGAGTTACAGAGAAAGGGAAGAACACAGGGAAACTGTATTATATATGTCATCATCCACAAAAAGTATGCAGCTTTTGGGAGTGGTTCTACCCCATTTCATCCAATATCACTAAAATGGTAACTCGACCACAACACCTACCATTGAATGAAGGAATGACCGGGTATGATAATTTGGTGGAAGATGTTGATAAAATTAAATATGAATCTGGACAACTTGTATCAAGTGTAAGAGTAATTGAAGCAACACATGAATTTGTTAAGCTACTAGCTAGGGTAACACTTTTTATGAGTGTTTTAGCTTTTCTAGTATCTATGTTTGCTTTATGTAAACTTTAGGTGATGTAAGGTTAATTTTCTAGTATCTCCGACTCAATATTAATGAAATTTATTTGAATGATGTGTAAAATAGTAAACAACATAGCATGCTATCAACCCAAATGATATGTCAAGCAAGAGTCACTCTTTATTCATACGACATCCAGAAGAAGAAAATTTAAAGTGCTTATCATTGTTAACATTTCCACTACACAAAAGACATCCAGCATAAAAAAATATTAAAGTGTTTATCATTGGTAACATCTCCACTACAAAAAACAATATGTCCCATAGTCATTACAAATTGCCACATGTATAATAGAAGTGAAATAAGAGAAACGCTTCATTCAAAAGACATCCAGCAAAAAAACAAAATAAAAGTTTAGACATCCAGCAAAAAAACAAAATAAAAGTTTACAAGTACTAAATATGTACATCGTTGGTAACATTTGCATTACACAAAGTTCACAATTAGCAAATACATCCAAAATAGCAAAAATATTAACATGTCACGCTTCCTTTAATATACATCCAAAACAACAAAAATTAAAGTTCACAATTAGCAAATACACCACCATAAATAACACCAAGTACTACGACAACACAGGAGTCGCCCGAGCATGAAAACCTGAAAATGTTAGGGACAGAACTTTGTAAATGGTCAGAAATAGAAGAAAAAGTTATCAGCATGCAATAAATTAAAAGTAGGACAAATTCTGGACTACAACGCAACTAACTCTGTCAAATTATGCAAATGCCAGTCTGTACAATTCTGTTCGTCTTTCATTCAGTGAATTATACAACAATTTCAACAGAAACTCCGAACGCATTAACTCTAGCTTTTTATGCATCATTAATTTAATTGGTATCATTATTTGTTTAATGTTCTTACATTTAGGGGGTAAAAAAATATATTACATTAAACTTACTTTCACCTTCTTGGATAATATTTTGCAATCCCATAATTCCATGAACTTCATTACGAATATGCCACAAGATGTCCTAAAATATTCACAAAATGAAAAATATCTACTTAGGTAATAATAGTAAGATGCTGTGAATACTTTATAATTTAAATTTCTACTTTTGTGTAATTTAGTATACATACGCATCAGGTTGTTTCAGGATTTTCACAAGAATCCTCACTAAGTATTTTGACCACTCTTTGCCACAAGCAACCTCCATGAGCTCTTTCTATCGTACAAACATAATCATTTTGTAAGTATAGTATATAACTATAAATAAATGATAAATGTAACACAAATATGAATGGGCGTTTACCACACATAAGGCATATTGCTTATATACGTGGGGTGTTCCTTTTGAATAAATGTAATCAATCGTCTTCTCCGGATGGTTTACCACCAACAAAAACCAGTGACTTTTTATGCATGAAGGAAAGCATACCTGCATTTAGGTGAACAAACAGTTAAGGGATTGTAAAAAAAATGGGGTTTTGTCACTTAATGTAAAATAATACAAACAAAACCACTAACCATATCTGTACTGGTAAATACAGCCGGATCAGTTTTAAAGATTCTGTTGTAATCTTCCCACACCTTTCTTAGGACAACCTTGCGTTTTTCAGCTGATTTCAACACCACAACTCCGCTGTTATCCATGAATTGTACAGCATTGCTATTCAAAAATAATTTTTTTGCACATTCTCCTTGGGTATTATTCAAATAATTTCCCCAAAAATTTACAACCTAATATAATAAAACAATAAATAATAGTTGCTAAAATTTTTTAAACAATAAACCTGTCATGGAGGGTAAAACAAAAATATTCAACAAATCATCTACTCACCGCGCTAGAAACAAGGTTGGGTTCGAACAAAGTTACCATATCACATCGAAACAGGTCTTGACCATACATCACCACCAATGTTTCACTGATAAAATGAATGACAAGTTGCAAATAAAATTTGAACATATAAGACACTTTATGCTGTCCAAAACAAAAATATATATATATTATTTAATAATAAAATGAAACTAGTATTAAACATATAACACACTTTATGCTGTACAAAAGAATTTTCAACACTTACCAATCTTCATGGCCAGTAGCTGCAACATAACTTAACATTTTGGTCTAGTCTTTTTGGAGGAGAGAAGGAATATGGTCCGGGCTTTAATATCCTAGTGCCTCTTCCACACTTTTTAATATTTTCAGCAACTTCAGAGTCTGATACTGCAACTGGAAAATGGGATGGTGTAGCACTTCGCTCAAATTCTGTGTTGGGAGGGGATTCAGTTACTCTTTCATGTACGGGAAATGTCACAGCAGGGATTGTCGCAACTGATACCTGAGTTATGATTTGAGTAACAGTAGGAATTTGTATGAAAAAACAATAGGTTTGAATAAAAAAACCTTCTATTCTCAGTCAAATTACTAAAAAACTAATGGTCTACTGTGCCTTCTGCTGATTCTAATAGGTTAAAAAATCTTATAATGAGAAGTACCTAGTCAAAAATATCCAAAATAAATTGTTAGTATGTTGAAGACCTGCCATGATCATAGGACTTTGACAGAAGGTTTTGTTATTCTATAATGTCATTACTCTTACGTTTCTATTTTCTGCTATAATTTAAAAATTGGAATGATATAAATTGTTTTTTAAGTTACCACAGCTAATATACAATAATAATCACAATTCAAGCTTAAATATACAATAATAATAACATAATAGGTAATAAAGAACTAAATCAAAGCAAATAAAAAAGTAACGATCTTACAGGAACACTGGTGAAAACAACATCGTTTTGAACGACCTCTTGATCCATAATTAATCTCTCTTCCTTGCTGGGCATATCGACTCCATACATCATCTTAAATAGTCCACTGA